GGGGAGGAGGGGGAGGAGGGGGAGGACGATGTCATGTCATCGTTAATACTCTGACTTCTTTTCTTTTTTTTTTTGCGTTCGCTGCTAACAACCACCAAATGCCACTTGTTTCCGCGGTTTCCTGGCAGAATGATGACAGATGGCGGTCGGCCGATTTAACGACAGCACATTCATCAGGCGCGGAGCGAGACCTGAGCGCCGCTGCAACGTCTCCACTGACCTTATGTACTGTACTGTTTTATCTGCACAGTTCATCATCGTGACATACATCCTGGCCTTCATCTGGCTGGCAGTGTTTGCCTTGGCCGCCATCCCCGTCTTCTTCCTGTTCAACATGGAGCAGACCTGCCACAACATCAACCTCCTGGTGGAGACCACCCCCAGCATTAATCAGCACAGCTGGATTTGCATGGACGCCAGGCAGTACGGTGCGTTGGTCTCTTTAATGACCGTCCGCCTGATCGGCATGTTAATGCACCGACGCTGAGAGCCATGAATTAACCATGAGGCGGCGGTCGAGGACCTGCGCGTTGAATTAGTGATGATGTCACAAACATATAACTGCACCTTTATCTTTGAGTACAGTTCACCCCCCCTCCACCTCACCCCTCCTCCCCCTGTGTGCTGTATATGCAGAGCAGACTCTTTAATGCATCAAAGCTCGTCTCAGTGACTCAGCACTAGGTGGCGCCGCATCACTGACGTCACGTGTTCTCTCCAGGTCTGCTGCCTTGGAACGCGCTGCCAGGGAAAGCTTGTGGAACGTACTTGGCGTCTATTTGCAAAACCAGCGAAGTGAGTGAAAATCAATCACTTTGATCTAATTGAACCTGTTAGTTAACAGTGTTTACGAGTTGGTTTTAGTTAATGAGGTCGTCGTGTTTTAACCCGAGCTTCGTTTCCTCTTCCAGTTCTACGTGACCTACGACCTGTACATCGCTGCGTTTGCTGGTGCGGGGATCACTCTGTTGGCACTGGTGAGTGACCGTTGACTCTGCTCCAGCATCGATGTTTCATTCACAATCAGGATAAATATATGTGTGTGTGTGTGTGTGTGTGTGTGTGTGTTCTTCACTGAGTGAGTGTTCAGTATGGAAGGAAATTCAACTTTTCAGGAAACAAAGTGTTGAAGTAAAAAGGAAAAGTGTTTTATTGTTACTGAAGTGAATCCGAGTGCAGCATTCTCCATACAACCCACTGATAAAATGAGCTGGAATGCTGCCATCTAGTGGCTTTCACTTTCACCTACAGCCGTTTTTCCCCACGACTATTTTTAGAGCACACATCATTTGGCAAATCCCAAAAGTTCCAGGAGACTTTTGGGGAAAGTCGTGAGCCAGGAGTGGCCCTGGAGCCACGAGTTTGAGATCCCTGCTTTACACAATCTATATTCACCATTATGTGTATATATTTATATATATGTCATATAAAAATCTTTGGTCCAGGTTCAGGATCCATATATTTATATATATGTCATATAAAAACCAGGATCTGGCAGCTGAAACCAAGTTTGAAAAAAAACAAAAAACACAAACTCCAGGCCGACCTTCTCGGTGTCCGCTCAGTCTTCGTGGCCAAATGTGATGAATAAAGATGTGAACGTCAGAGTGAGGGAGAATTACAGGGTGATAATTGAAATGGGGAAACGTTTGGCAGCAACAGCAGCAGAGACAGAGCTGAGTGGTCACATCTGGACGGAGTGGAGTCCTGAAGACGGACCGGACCTGCAGCAGAACTGAAAACAGACGAGTCTGAAATATCAGCAGTCTGTTAAAGGTTCAGACAGAAATACAGACCATGAATATATGTTTATTTATTATATTTTTGTTCATTTATTTCTAATTAAACCTTGACGACCAGCGAAGACACTGTATTTTATACAAATATAATTGTATGTTTTATTGTGTGATGACCAACAGCTGAGTTTTATATAAACGATCAACCGCGGTGACCTTGTTTACATTCGATTTTCTTTTTTGTTTTTTTTCTCTCTGAGCCCCTGGCGGCCGCCCAGGTAACAGTGAAAGTGACTTCCGTTCAGTTTTATGGCGCATTGAAGAGTGTTGACAAATGACTCAGCTGGTTTTGTCACCGTCACAGACCTTGGTCTGAGAGGAACCTGAGCAGAACCCATCCAGTCTTTTCTCTTGTTTTTCATCAGAGAAGAACCAAATGTTTACGACAGTTTTATCTTCACTGGACATTTAACTGAGTTGTTTAGAACAAAAGTTGTTTTTTTTGTTTCTTTCTTTGTTCATTGATTCTCTTCCTCCTCCTTCCTCCTCCACATCTCCATCCTCCAGTTTCTCTATCTGTTCGCCACCACCTACAACTACGCAGTCCTGCGGTTTCTGGGCAGGAAAGGTGTCCGCTAGGAGCAGCCACTCCACTGCAGCTGACGCCCTCTTCTGGCCGTGAGGTGCACAGCCATCAGCACATTTCCACCTGTGGGTCTGCGTTGATGCCACCTGCAGACCTGGACCTCCTGCTAGTGTTTCCTCCTCCTCCTCCTGCTCCTCCTCTTCCTCTTTCACGGTCTTGTTTTCTTTGGTACGAGCAGCAGACACAGAGATGAAGATGAAGAGTCAGC